ACATTTTGTAATGTTCTCTCTAGCTTCTTTGGTCCTCAGTTATTCCCTTATCCATAAATCTGACAAATAAGCTATTCTATGCTCCCTTAATTTGCTTATGGTGTCACCCTTTATGTATAATTCATGTACCCATTTTGACCTTATCTTGGTATATAGTGTGAGATGTTGGTCTATAACTAGTTTCTGCCATACTGGCTTCAGTTTTCCCACCAGATTTTGCCAAATAATTGAGTTTTGTTCCAAAAAGTTGAATCTTTGGGTCTATTATATACTAGATTACTATGGTCATTTACCACAATGTAATTTGTACCTAATCTGTTCCATTTTAGTAGATTTACAATTATTTCTTAACAAGTACCAGATTGTTTTTGATAATTACCACTTTATAATACAGTTTGAGATCTGATACAGCTAGATCAACTTTTGCATTTTTTATTGATTCCCTTCATATACCTAAAGTTTTGTTCTTCCAGATTAATTTTATTATTTTTCTACCTCTATAAAATAATTTTTGATAGTTTGATTGGCATTTCACAAAATAAATAGATTAATCTAAGTAGAATTGTCATTATTATTATATTGGTTCAACCTACCCATAAGTGATTAATATTTTCCAATTGTTTAGATCTGACTTTGTTTGTGTGAAAAGTGTTTTGTAGTTGTGTTCATATAATTACTGGGTTTTTCTTGGCAGATAAGAGTCCCAAGTATTTTATATTGTCTACAGTTATTTTAAATGGAATTTCTCTTTCTTTTTCTTGCTGCTGGACTTTTTTGGTAATATACAGAAATGCTAATTATGCATATGGGTTCATTTTGTGTCCCTCAACTTTGCTAAAGTTAGTAATTTCAAGCATTTTTTCATTTGATTCTCTAAGTATGACATCATATTATCTGCAAAGAGTGGTAGTTTTATTTCCTCATAGCCTGTTCTAATTCCTTTAATTTCTTTTTTTCCCCTCTTATTGCTATAGCTAGCATTTCTAGTACAATATTAGATAATAGAGGTGATAATGGGCATCCTTGCTTCACCCTTGATTGTATGGGGAAGGCTTCTAGCTTCTCCCCATTACAGATAATACTTGCTGATGGTTTTAGATAAATATTACTTATCATTTTAAGGTAAGCTTCATTTATTCCTATGCTTTCTAGAGTTGTTTTTTTTTAATAGAAATGGGTTCTGTGTTTTTCAAAGGCTTTTTCTTCATCTCTTGAGATAATCATATGATTTCTGCTGCTTTTCTTATTGATATAGTCAAGTATGCTTACAGTTTTACTAATATTGAACCAGCCCTGCATTTCTGGCATAAATCTCACGTGGTCATAGTGTATGACCCTTGTGAAATATTGCTTTAATCTCTTTGTTAGTTTTTTTATTTAATTTTTTGCATCAATATTCATTGAGGAAATTGATCTATAATTTTCTTTCTTTGTTTTGGCTTTTCCTGGTTTGAGTATCAGCATCATATTTGTGTCATAAAAGGAATTTGGTAGGACTCCTACTTTGCCTAGTTTTTCAAATAGTTTACATAGTATTGGATTAATTGTTTGGTAGATTTAGGTAAATCTTTGGCAAAATTTGCTTGTGAATCCATTCGGTCCTAGAGATTTTTTCTTAGGAAGTTCATTGTTGGCATGTTCAATTTCTTTTTCTAAGATTGAGTTATTTAAGCATTTTATTTCTTTTTCTGTTAATTTATATTTTTGTAGATATTCATCTATTTAGTTTGGATTGTCAAACTAACTGACATATGATTGGGCAAAATAGCTCCTAACAATTTCCTTTATAAAATCAAATTAACCAGTGGTTTATCTATTTTTTTCATAAACCAGCTTCTAGTTTTATTTATGAGTTCAATGTTTTTTTTTTTTACTTTGAATTTTCTTTATTTTTCCTTTGATTTTCAGGATTTCCAATTTGGTTTTTATTGGGGATTTTTAATCTGTTCTTTTTCTAGTTTTTTTTTGTTGAATGCCCAATTCATTAATCTGCTTTTTCTCTATTTTATTAATGTAAACAATTAGAAATATAAAATTTCCCCTAAGTACTTTTTTCACTGCATTCCATAAACTTTAGTATGCTATCTCACTGTTATTTTCTTTAATAAAATTATAGATTGTTTCTATGATTTGTTCTTTGACCCACTTTTTTTAGGATTAGATTATTTAATTTCCAATTAATTTTAATATCTCTTCCCATTGTCTATTATTTAATGTAATTTTATCGCATTGTGATCTAAAAAGGATGCATGAACTATTTCCGCCTTTTTATATTTGGTTGTGAGGTTTTCATGTCGTAATAAATGGTCAATTTTTGTATAGGTGCTATATATTGCTGAGAAAAAGGTATACTCCTTTCTATTCCCTTTAATTTTCTCTAGAGATCTATCATATCTGACTTCAGAATTCTATTCACCTCACTATCTTCTTTCCTGTTTATTTTTTGGCTAGATTTATCTATTTCTGAGAGGGAATAGTTGAGGTCCCTCATTAGTATAGTCCTATTATCTATTTCCTCCTGTAACTCACTCAACTTCTTTAAAAATTTAGGTATTATACCATTTGGTGCATATAAGTTTAGTATTGATATTACTTCATTGTCTATGGTACCTTTCAGCAAGATACAGTTTCCTTCTTTATATCTTTTAATTAGATCTATTTTTGCTTTTGCTTTATCTGAGATTGTGATTGCTACCCCTGCTTTTTTTTGCTTCAGGTGAAGCATAATAGATTCTGTTCCAGCCTTTTACTTTTACTTTCTGTATATCTGTTTCTTGTAAACAACATATTGTAGGATTCTGGTTTTTAATCCATTCTGCTATCCACTTGCATTTTATGGGTGAGTTCATCCCATTCACATTTATAGTTATGATACCTAACTGTGTATTTCCCTCCATGCTATTTTTCTCTTGTTTATCCCTCCCTACACTGCAACCCTTTCTTTCCTCACAAGCATTTTCCTTTTGATCATTGCCTTCCCCAGTATATCCTCCCTTTTATCAGTCCCTGTACCCTATCTATCATTCTCATCTCTTTTTACTTTCTTATAGCATAAGATAGATTTCTATATCCAACTGAGTTTGTATGTTATTCCCTCTTTGAAACAATTTTGAGACTAAGGTTTAAAGTTTACCCATCTCCCCCAGTCTACCTCTCTATTATAATAGCTTTTTCATGCCTCTTTTGTGTAGGATAATTTAACCTATTCAGTCTCCCCCTTCCTACCCCATTCAATCTCCACCTTCCTGAGACTACTTTTTATGATTTGTAAATAGTATAACTTTGTGACCAAATGTCCCTCATATCACACAATGGCTTTGTTCAATTAAAAAAAAAAACCTCAACAACCACTGCCAAATTAAGAAACCTAAAGTAAGTCTTTAAAATTTATGCTGTTAATACTGGAATATAGTGTGGAAATTTGTGAATATAGAATAATGTACTTTCAAATCACAGGGCAGAATCAAGCTGTGGAAATATCTTTCAAGTGAATCATCTTAGTATTAAGCTATAAACTTTTCACAAAAGCTGTCATGGCTTCTTGTAAAATAATAAAGATGTTTTAATTGATTCCTTTCATTGTTTAATAAAATTGCTTTGTTTGATTGCTAGAGAAATTTGAATTGAGTTTTCATTACCTACTTCTGAACAATTTACACTAGGATTCAGACAGTATTGAGCTAATGAGTTTGAATTTATATTGAGCTTTAACTGTCTTCATGAAGTAGATGGAAAAAATTCATGGCAATAACTAAGCATTCTTCATTAAAAAACTATGTTGTACAGATTTTACAAGGAGATATTTAATAGAGTTAAAGGATTGAAATTGGAATTTCACCAACTTTACTGTTCTGTGCCTCATAAGAAAATATGGTTTCAAAAGGAAATAGAACACTTATTAGTTGAAAAGCATTTTCCTGTGTGCTTTAGAGGAGTAAGTCTTGTAAGTAGCTCAAGTTATGAAATCAAGTTCTGATAAAAGGTTTAATTTATATCAATTGCAAAAATTAAAAGACATTTAAGCATTTTTCAGTTAGATGATATGCAGTACTGCATTTAAGACAGATATGACTAAACCCCAAACATCATCATATGTACTTGTACATGCCCCTCAAATGCACTTTTGAAAATCCTTATGATGTCATGACCTAAATTTTATATTCCTTTTTATGTCAAAGATAAATTATATTCAAAGATATCAATATTATTCCATTGCTATAATCACTTATTACTACATTATCAAAGTAACTAATATTTCCAGTCTTTTCTGCAATTCCTAATATTTGAGGAAATTAATAAATCTATCTTAAAATTAATTCTTGAAATTAGGTTAAACACTTTAAGGTTGGTGGTTTATCATGCATTTCAATGGTACCTTAGGAGTAAAAGTTTCTGCACCTTCTAATTCTATAGTATAATTGAATTTCATTGAATATATAATATATCCCATTTGCTATTAAAACATTTGACCAGTTAGTGATTAGGTTTCTCAGATAGTTTTTTTTAATCGACTTAGTTTGTAACAGTTTAGAGTAGCAAAATAGCAAACATATAGTGTATGTGAAATTGGTATATATTAAATGCTTGTTCATCTATTTTTCATTTAAATTTTAAACATCAAGATGTTCCAATATAGGTAGAAAATGAAACCTGTATTTGCCAAGTGGGAAGATGTTAAATATGAATAATTAAAAGAAGTATGATTGGCATTTTTACCAGAACTTTTCAACTTTTAAAATTATTCCCAAATCTGAAGAATATTACCCTTCAACTTGTATATTATTGCAGTTGCCTTTCTGGAAAGTTGGAATGTTTCTTTGGACAGGGAAACTGGAAAAAAAGAGAAGTTTATCTCCCTTGTTTTAGTTCATTACCCCTAAGAAACCAAATAATTTTTTCCATTCTCCAAATGGGTTAAATTTGTGGCCTTACTTACAAACTTAGTCATTGCAAATTTGGAATCTTCCTGTATCCAAATAATTTATATTCATTCCCCACAGGCAGCAGTGATGGTTCTTGGGATAAGGAAAAACTTCAGTCTCCCCCCACCCAAGGATCTCAGGCCTCTGTTAACCACCCCAGCTTGCCTGGACAGCATAACCTTCCAGTTAGTCATCCTCTCAACCCTCTTCAGCAGAACCACCTTCTGCCAAATGGTACGATGGCATCTTTTAGCACTAACATTGATAGTTTTCAAAAAATAAAATTGTATGTCATTATTGTGTAGTCAACATAGGCACTGAGAAGCAGTAGAATTACTCAATATATATAATTAAATGTGGTTAGTATGGATTAAGAATGAGTAATTGATATTTTAAATAAGATTTTAACAGAGTCACAAGCATAATAAATATACCATCACACTTGGCATTAGATATTTTAGAAAACTATTCATGATGCAATAGAACAGACAACAGTTTAATCAGTCATAGTGGCCTATTTTTCCTCTGTGTGTGAATATCTCCTGTTTTCCTCAGTGGGAGTTACATATATAGAGGAGAAATTTTTTCTCTGAATCTTTTTGTTACAGTAGAATTTCTGAAGACTTCATTTTTCAATGATTTATGGTACCAACAATTTAAATAAAAGTTTGATCATTAGGGTTTTTTTTTCCCTTCAAAACATAGAGGCACATATGATATGATATATATTTTTTTCTTGTAGGACTGGAACTTCCTTTTATGATGATGCCCCACCCTCTAATTCCTGTCAGCCTACCTCCAGCATCTGTCACCATGGCAATGAGCCAGATGAACCACCTCAGCACCATTGCTAATATGGCAGCAGCAGCACAAGTTCAGAGCCCACCATCAAGAGTTGAGACATCTGTTATTAAGGTAAATGGATAAAGAAACAAAAAACAGTCTATCAGTAGTTCCATATAGAATTTTGCAATTTTCAGTGAGGATTCTTCATGTAATTGCTATTGCTAAAAACCTAAGTATGACTAAATGTAGAATCAGAAATGCATTAGTAGTACTTATAAGATCATCAATCATAAGATGTATAGATAGGATATATTTACTTTCAAATATCAATTTTATTTATTGGGAAAACTGGATAGAAGGGGTTGTAACTCTGTTTAGAATGTCAGCCAAAGTTTTTTTCATATTTTTAATGACTGAAATTTTCATAAGTATGTATCCATTTCTTTGTGATGAGGGTAGGTCTGGCATATATTTAGCATTCAAAGCAATTTGACAGAAGGCTTAAGTTGAATGGGAAAGTTTGAAAGAAATGAATTTAGTGTCATTGAAATTTCTACTCATATCCAGTGATCTTCCTGTTTTGAAATTATCTCATCTCAATCCATTTATTCTTGTTTGGAATTATAATACTGAGTGCCTACTATCTATAAGGCATGATGTTCATTATATTAATCTCTTTAAAGAGTGGTAGCAGTCTATCTATGTCAAGACAAGTTTAGGTACAGTCATGCATAGCAGTAATAACTGATGAGAATAGTGGATTCTTCAATGTCTCAATTCATCATTTGTTAAGGTAACACCTGTAAATAAAGCTGAGTTTATAAGGCATGAACATTTTGTCTCACATGAGTAGACTTTCTAAAAAGAATATTTTTTTTCCTTTTTTTCCCTTGAGCTCAAACTATGCTGTATTCTAGTACTCAAAGGGACATTTGATTTAAACAATTTGCAAGTTCTCTCCAAGTGATCAAATTTGCAATGGATTCATGCTTGCCCATTTTTTCAGAATCACATGTGGACACTGCCATAAGTTCATTACAATTGGTCCACCCAACATCCTTGAGGCCTTCCTCAATTTTTCAGGCATCACAAAGGTATCAGTGGTATAAAACCTTGGAAGATCATTTAATCCAATTTATTGGTTCAGAATGTGGCTATTAGTATATTATATGACTACGTATTCTCTTGAAAAATCTCTTTTGTAGTTGCAGTTTATACAAATATAAAATGGATTGCCAATTCCCCAGCTATAGTAATGATTTTTATACTACATTTTATTTGGTTATTCTTTCTTACTCCTCTTTTATAAGCACTGGTGTTGATTTTGGATACACACACACACATACACATATACACACACAGACACACACAATTTCTTTCTATTTCTAACTGAGGTATTGAAATAAGGCCAAAAACAAAAGCAGTGGATATAAAGACTTTTTGACCTTCCTCTCCACAATTCACTAAACTTGCAGTTAATGAGCTATGTTTTGTTATCTGTAATCTCACAAAGCACTAAAATCTTTTATGGTCCTGGAGAATATTTCATTTCCTAGTGATAAGCAATTGTAATAAAACTGAGACCATATACTTATTGAATATTATAAATAGGGTAAAATGATTTTATGACAAAAGGTGAGCAAGAATTAGGAAAATGCAAAGAAATAAGGAGATTAAAAAACATCCTAGCTTTTTAAAAAATGTTCACAGTAGTCTTAACTTATAGTTATGGATTGTGAACATTTATAACCAAGCTAGAGAAAGAATATCATTTGGTAATGAAATCATTAGATACATGAGTTATATTAACAGGAGAATGTATTAAGACAAACATGAAACACATTAAATGGGACATTTAGTTATTTACCTCTAAGCTATACCTTATACATGAAATAGTTTTAATCACCTATAAATTTAGATTTTAAAGATAGACATTATATTTGGGAATATATTTTGAATTTAGCTTTTTATTGATAAAATACAAGAGTGTAGGTTAATTAACCATGCATTATCTTTTACCAATTTTTTGCATTCAAATATTTCAAATACCATGGAGGTAGGCCATTGCATCAAACTTCTTTTTTTTTTAGATGAGGAAACGGGGGTCCAGGATGTTAAATAATTTGCTTATTGTCATACAACAGATACATTTTTGAGGCCATATTTATAGAGGCCATGTCTCTCTTCCTGAAAATCTAGTATCCTCTCCATCCATCCATTCTTCCATCTATCTATTTAATGTGCCATTATTTGTTCATTCATTCATTGAAAGAGTATTTTAAAAATTCTTATTCTATTTAGAACATTGTACTAAGGATGGGAGAGACAAAAATGAAATTAGACTCAGTCACTGCTGTTATCAGATTAAGAAGGATGTAGTTAGATATAAATGCATAAACTATATTGCAAGTACATAAAAGACACACAAACAAAATGCCATGTGAAGTCTAAATCATGCAAGGTCATTCATACTTGAAGTGATCAGGAAAGCCTCCATGGAGAGTCAGCCATTTAAAGGGTTATTAGGGTATGTAGCAGGCAAGAGAAATAGACAGGGAAATAGGATGATGTAGGTTTCAATACATTCCATTAACTTTTGTGAAAAAAAATATACTTTTTTTTTTGTGGTGAGGCAATTGGGGTTAAATGACTTGCCCAGAGTCACACAGCTAGTGAGTGTTATATGTCTGAGGCTGGATTTGAACTCAGGTCTTCCTGACTCCAGGGACACTACTCTATTCACTGCATCACCTAGCTACCCCTATACTTTTTTTTAACTATATTATTCCACATATATGTCATTAGAGCTTTAAGATTCATCTTCCTTCTCCCCCACCCAGCATCATCATATCAGTCACCTGTGGTAGGGAGAAGGGGAAAAAATGGAATTACTCATATCTTGATAACTGTAATGAGTAACTTCTGTTTTATTCTAATCAATATTATTCTTCATTTTAAAAAAGTATTGACTTAATTTCCTCAATAATTATCATTAGCATAGTATATTACCTGTTGTAATATTCCATGTTTATGGCAGACATTTATGTTTAGCATATTAATACCTCTCTATGAAATGACAAGTTTGAAGTAAATGGTTTCTAAGATATCTTTTCAATCTAAATCCTATGATCATATTGTGGGACCTGTATCCTGGTGCAGGATAAATGAAGGTCCCACCAATGTTCTGACCTTGTCCAGTTTGAGTAGTGGGGGACTATCATTAGATGCAAAGTAAGTGAAAGTTTACTCAACATTCTGACTGTGGCCATCTCAACGATGATGGCCTTATGCCGATAAAAGAGAATAGAACACCATTTTTTTTTGGACATGTAATTAAGGAAGGACAAAGAATGGGGAGTTAGTAAGTCAGCTAGTATGTTTCCTTGGAAAATTAAAACTACATCAAAGTGACAGGGTGGACTCAGTTTATAAAATGGACTCTATAAAGTATCAATGGCTCATATGGCAATTCATATTTCCATTACATATGACTTTTAGACATTTCACAATTTAATTGTGATTAGAACCCCTTGTGCTTTGTTAGCTAAAGTGAATAAGTCAACAACCATTTGTTAAGTACCAGCCATATGCCAGGCATCATGCTACTTTCACAAGTTGAGATAGCCATATTAATTGCTAGTGATGAGCCTCTTTCTATTTGCACTGCTTCTTGCGGGGAAAAAAATGAAATCTGTCACCAGACCTTTTCAGTTCACCAGGCCTTCTAAATCTTTGTTTCTACTGCCATAGCCTTTCACAAATCAAGGCTACCTCCATGGCATGAGGAGGCCTTGGAGTAGAACTTTAGTGTAGTATTAATTTTATACATGCACATACAAGTGTATTTTGACAGAAATTAAGTTCATAAAAGAATAAAAATCAATTGCATAAAATTTTTTAAAAGAATTTTCATAAACAAAATGCAGCTAGAATAAGAAGAGAATCATTTGAAAGGGGAAAAAATATCTTAAAAATCTCAGCTAAAATTCTGATTTGTGTAATAGAGAATAAATATAGAACCAAGAACTATTTCCCCAAGATATAACTGTTTAAATGTTAGAAATAGATAGTTTTCAAAAGAAGAATATAAAATTATCAGAAACCATATACTTGTTCCAATTCATTGCTAATGATAAGCAAAATCAAAACAACTTTGAAATTACATTTCACATCCCTCAAAGTGGCAATGATGACATAATGTGGAGATAGAAAATTGTGGAGGGACATTGGGAGAAAGGCAGACTAATATGCTGTTGGTATAGTTGTTCAACCATCTTGCAAGAAAATTGGAATTGTGCTAAAAAACATTCATTCATTTTTTAAGCTATTGATCTGACTACTAGACATATATTGCAAAGGAGGCCAAAGATTGAAAGGAAAGTCTCCTATAACAAAATATTGATAGTAGCATTCTTTTTGGCAGAAAAAAAATCTAAAACAAGTTAAGTGAATATGTTCTGGGACTACCTGAACAAATTTGTAGTATGTGAATATATTGGAATAATATTATATGTAAAAAACAATAAACAGGAAGAATGCAGAGGAACATGAAACTATTTGAATGACCTGTTAAAGGGAAAAGTAAGCAAAGCAAGTAAAATGATATATACAATAAGTATTATAAAATTTTAAAACATTAAAATGAATTTATATTTTAATTGTAAGGATCAATCTCAACCCAGAGACCACACATCTCTTCATGACTCCCATGGAGTCATGGGACACCATGAGTGTGGAATTTGGTATATGCTGTCAGATGAAGTTATATGCTGTCAGGTTTGCTTGACTGCTTTTTATGTTAGAAGGAATATACAGGGAGGTATAAAAGGAAATAACTGTATTGTGAAAACAAAAGGCATCAAACTTCTGACAAAAAATGAAAATATTTTATGTTTACTGAAAATGTTTATTAGTGTTTCAGAAAGGAAAAATGTTACAGATGTATCTTTTGAGATGCTAGTGAGAGTTTTATGACTTAATGACTTTATTCTGCTGTTGAAATATCTTACATTTATGTTCTTTTCATCAAAGGTACTAGCTTTGTATCATCTTCAATTCTTACTTTTTAATTAATTCACATCGGGGACAGTCATTTCTAGGAAGTTGTCCTTGAGTTTATGAATATTTTT